CGAGCTCTGTACTACAGCTCCCATCATGCGCCAGGCCAGGCCTGACGCCCGCACTACGACTCCCATCATGCCCCGGGCCGGCCTCGCACTTGCAGCTCCCATCATGCGCCGGTGCTACAGCTCCCATCATGCCCCGGGCTGGCCTCGCAGTTGCGGCTCCCCGTTACGCCCCAGGCCGGGCCGAGCTCTGTACTACAGCTCCCATCATGCGCCAGGCCAGGCCTGACGCCTGCACTACGACTCCCATCATGCCCCGGGCCGGGCCTCGTACTACAGTTCCCATCATGCCCCGGCGCCAGGCCCGGCCTGGGGCATGACGGGAGCTGTAGTACAAGGCTAGGCCCAGCCTGCGGCGTGACGGGGAGCCGCAACTGCGAGGCCGGCCCGGGGCCGCGCCTGACGCCCGCACTACGACTCCCATCATGCCCCGGGCCGGCCTGGGGCATGACGGGACCCGCACCTGCGGGCCGGGCCTGGCGCCCGCACTACGACTCCCATCATGCCCCGGGCCGGCCTGGGGCATGACGGGACCCGCACCTGCGGGCCGGGCCTGGCGCCCGCACTACGACTCCCATCATGCCCCGGGCCGGCCTGGGGCATGACGGGACCCGCACCTGCGGGCCGGGCCTGGCGCCCGCACTACGACTCCCATCATGGCTTGGCCCGGCCTGGGGCGTGACGGGAGCTGCACCTGCGAGGCCGGCCCGGGGCATGATGGGAGCTGTAGTACGACGGTCGGCCCGGGGCATGATGGGAGCTGTAGCACGGGGGCATGATGGGAGTTGTAGTGCAGGCGCCAGGCCCTGTCCGGGGCATGATGGGCGTCGTAGTCCGGGCGTCAGGCCCGTCCGGGGCATGATGGGAGCTGTAGTACGATGCTCGGCCCAGCCTGGGGCGTGACGGGAGCTGCACCTGCGAGACCGGCCCGGGGCATGATGGGAGTCGTAGTGCAGGTGTCAGGCCTAGCCCGGCGCATGATGGGAGCTGTAGCACCGGGGCATGATGGGAGTCGTAGTGTGGACGCTGGGCCCGGTCCGGGGCATGATGGGAGCTGTAGTACGAGGGTCGGCACGGCCTGGGGCATGACGGGAGCTTCATCTGCGAGGCCGGCCCGGGGCATGATGGGCGTCATAGTGCGGGCGTCTGGCCCGTCCGGGGCATGATGGGAGCTGTAGCACCGGGGCATGATAGGCGTCGTAGTGCGGGCGCTGGGCCCGGCCCGGGGCATGATGGTACTTGGAGTAGTGCATGATGCATCATGCATCATGATGGCATGATGGCACGCCTGGGGCGTGACGGGAGCTGCACCTGCGAGACCGGCCCGGGGCATGTTGGGCGTCGTAGTGTGGGCGTCAGCCCCAGCCCGGGGCATGATGAGAGCTGTAGCAGCGGGGCATGATGGGAGTCGTAGTGCGTGCGCCAGGCCCGGCCCGGGGCATGATGGGAACTGCAGCACCGGGGCATGATGGGAGGTGTAGCAGCGGGGCATGATGGGAGTCGTAGTGCGTGCGCCAGGCCCGGCCCGGGGCATGATGGGAGTCGTAGTGCGTGCGCCAGGCCCGGCCCGGGGCATGATGGGAGTCGTAGTGCGGGCGCCATGCCCGGCCCGGGGCATGATGGGGGCTCAGTGCAGACAGTGACCGCGTCCGTCTGCCGGGTGGGCGCTGCAGGGATGGCCGCGGGGAGCAGCTGGGCTGGTGCTTGCGGCGGGTGCCGGAATCGCAGGCGGGGGTGCGGGGGGAGGCGAGGCGCGGGCGCTGCAGCCGGGCTGTGGGGCACGGGGCGGCATGGCGAGCGTTCGCGTCCTGTTCCGGCTGCCTCGGTCCCTGGGGTTTGCAGTCCACAATCCCGGCGGCGTGACGCTCCTGCTTCCAGGGGCCTCTGGGGTGTGGAGTGCACAGTTGCC